GTTCCCTGGACTCTCCTAGATTGTCCTGGATTATTCTGGACTGTCCTAGCCTTCTTTGAGTCTCCTGGACTCTCATGGAGTCTCCTAGAGTCTACTGGACTGTCCCGGAACTTCCTAGAGTCTCCTGGACTCCCCTTTACTTTCCTAGACTCTCCAGGACTTTCCTGAAATGTCCTGGATTCTCCTGGACTTTCCTGGAACTTCCTCAAGTCTCCTGGACTCTCCTAGAGTCTTCTGGTCCTGGACTCTCCTGGACTCTCCTAGAGTGTCTAGGACCTTCATGGAGTCTTCTGGACTCAAGCAGCCCTGTTTGGGGGCTCAGAGGCCGGCAGGTCTCCTGGGAGCAGGCTCAGATGAAGCCGGACCGGACAGACCAGCCCGGTCAGGCTTTGTTTGACCCTGTTTGTGGTCCAGGGCTCAGCGACCGGCTGATGGTGGTGTGCATTGCTGCCTTAACGCCTCTGTCTGCTCAGCAGGACCGAGCGGTGCCCAGTGCTGCCGAGGCGACGCCAACAGCACAGAGCGCGCCCGAAGCAACGACATGGAGGTGGTTTGGCACTTCTTCTGCGTTCACTGGCATCAGGAAATATGAGGTGACGTCTCTTTTTGTGTTTACAGTGTTCCGTGATCTGACCCAGAAGGATTCAGATGCACATCCAGAGTCCCAGATGTCCAGCTCTGTGCTTTTCTTTGAACGTGGCGCCGCGTTTTAGTGCCCACCCTCTGCAGATATCAGGGTTTTCTCTTCATATTACCTAGACAGGTAGAGTCTGCTCTTCAGACCTGTTTCTGGTTTTTTGGAGCTCAGTTTAGGGAGTTCAGGACTTTGGAGTGATTAGATATGGAAAATTGTTCTTAAGTTATTTCTGTTTGACTTTATAAGACTCAAATGTTTCTGATTCCTTTCTGTATAAAGAATAAAATATTAAAGTGACCTTTGTATTACTGCAGTATTTGTTCATGTTGTTTCTCCTGGAAAAGCTGGCAGTATGTGTTGCTATAAAGTCTCAGTGAATCTTTGTGTCACTTTCTGGTAGTTTTGTGTCTCTTTGTGGCTGTTTTGCGACCCTTTGGCTTTTTCGAGTCTCTTTCTGGTAGTTTTGTGTCTCTTTGTGGCCGTTTCTTTTGTCTCTTTGTGGTTGTTTTGTGGCTGTTTGTTGCTGTTTCATGTCTCAATCTGATAGTTTTCTGTCGCTTTGTAGTTTTGTTGCATCTCTTTGTGGTTGTTTTGTGTCTCTTTTCAGTGTCATGTTCCAGAGGAAACACATTTGATTTCTTTGAACACTGGAAACCTTTTTCAGGGCAGAACAGGCAGAAGACCATTTACTTTGTTTTATGTATTTATTTCTGTTGTTAGTTTTATTTCTCTATATTTCTATTATTTCTAATAAAAATGGGCGTTCCTCATCAAATTAAATTAAGACTAAATAGAGTTTATTCTCCTGATATTGAAATAAATTTCAATGAAGATTTATTCAGAAAATCCCTACAAATGTCAGTTGATCCAGATAAAAGTTGAGGCTTTCTAAGCTTTCTTCTGAGAGTTTGAGCTTAAAAAGGACCAGAAGTGAAACTGAAAATGTGTCTGAGGTGACAGTGGGAAACCCGTCGGTTCCTCATGTGCTGCGCGTCGTGTGTGGCATGTGGAGTGTGCATGCAGATCGGCGCTCGGCATTCAGCCACACACTCAACAACACACACTTTGGAGGGTTTAATGTGCATGTTAAGAGGAAACTCTCAGAGGCTGTGAGGGTTTCTGGCTTCAGCCTGCAGTTCTTTGTATGCACTTTCCATTTGACTGCCTCTCAGATCAGTGTTGGTGTGTTTGGCTACTTTGGCTCTGAGAAATTACCTCAGAGTACCTGAAAATAAACACAATCTTTAGTTTACGGGGTTTCACACGCAAAACAAAAGAAACATGCTTCTATTTTGAACCGTGGGAGGAAGCCACAGTTCCTGAACACAACCATCTCATGCAAAAACACAGACTCCACATTAACTCAGCACCGCAACACCAGCAGGAAGCCCAGTTTCTGTGGAGCAGCCCAACTCAAAAACCGTCCAGGGGGATTTTTGATGGGATACAGAAAGGGTAGTAATGCACGACCACTGAAAAAGAAGCTCACAGAGTCAAACTGTTTGACCTGATTGAGCCTGATCAGTACTTGGACAGGAGGCCGCCTGGGAATACCAGGTACTGTAAGCTTTTTCTTACAGTTCTTACATTCTTTGGAGTTTAATTGAACTTTAAGTCTCCCCTTAATTTGCTATGGATCATCAGTTTCTTATTCGTAAAAAGCAAGTAATGAGCAGTCCACCGCTTAGGGTCCAACATTTTATTTTGGAGCCAGCAGCCCATTTTGGCGGTGTTGATTCAGGTATAAACTGCCCGTTTGCCGGGCAAACTGCAGCTTACGGCCACACCAGGGCAGTGTGCATCTGATTTCCGAGCAACCCTGAACACATCAGCTAATCAAAACACCTGTGCGAGTGCTGTGAGTGAGACGAGCTAGACTCAGTGTGTTTTTTCATGATTTTGTGTGGTAAATCAAACATATTGTTTGTTTTTTGGTGGATTATATCCCTCCCCATCAGCCTAGTCTTTGGGGGGGCGCTTTTGTTTGTAATTATATTCACAGGATGGACACCCCCATAAAGACAATGGACTATACTATCCGGATTAACGGTAAGAGAAATCAAATATGAAAAAGAACTTATGATGGTAATAGAAGTACAGGGGGAGGAAAAAAATTAAATCGCTCAATATCTAAAAAGCATAAGCCTTTTGTGTGGAGCAATAGTTGGATGTAGGCCATTAGGCCCAAAGGCATTTGAAATCACGTTGACCAGTGAAAGGGCAAAAGAAAAACTAAGGCTGGGGGGTGGAAGCCGTTCTTGTGCGAAATTCTGTTCCCCTGTGAAAATCTGTTCCCCCTGTGTCGGAAGCGCGCATTGCAGCCAGAGAGGCGGATCTGAACATTTTCACGGCGCTTCAGATCGATTTCGTTGTTTACAAAATTGTAAAGTAATTAAATAAACGAGGTCTTTTTACGCTGTTTTGTGTTATTTTAAACGCCAAGAGAATCGGTCTTTCTTCAACTTCTGTCACTTCAGCTTGACAGAAATAAAAGTCAGTCACCAAACACAATTTGTCAACACGTAGTATGTATTTATAGTTTTTCATTGCTGATATAAGAGGATGGTAGCTGGCTGATAGCAAGGCACAAAAATTAAGACTTCCTGAAAAGATGAGAGTGTAGACTTTCTGGTAAATCTTGTTCTAATGTAAAATATGACAGATCACTGGATTGAGGAAATTTCTAGTATACTACATGCTACCACACATAACAATTTTTGAGAATTTGGAAAGAGTTGCTCTTTATTCCCCAAAGTTATGGGAGAAGGAGAGGAGAGAATGGATATTTCAGCTGCCTGAAATAATCCGTTCCCCCTCCATAAAATGGGAACAAATTAACTTACCAGAAAACCTTTTACTGTGCTTATTCCTCTCATCATCAACAATAAATCATGTAAGTTTGAAAACATTTGCTCTTTATTTGACAGAGTTATGAGGGGGGGAACCATATATTTTAGCCACCTAAAATAATTAGTTCCCCCTCCATAAAATGGGAACAAATTAACTTACCAGAAAATCCTTTACTGTGCTTATTCCTCTCATCATCAACAACAAATCATGTAAGTTTGGTACCATTTGCTCTTTATTTGACAGAGTTATGAGGGGGGAACCAAATATTTTAGCCACCTGAAATAATCCGTTCCCCCTCCATAAAATGGGAACAAATTAACTTACCAGAAAATCTTTTACTGTGCTTATTCCTCTCATCATCAACAACAAATCATGTAAGTTTGGTGCCATCTGCTCTAAATTCGACAAAGTTATGAGGGGGGAACCATATATTTTAGCCACCTGAAATAATCCGTTCCCCCTCTGTAACATGGGAACAAATTAACTTACCAACAAGTCTTTAACTGTGATTATTCCTCTCATCATCAACAAGAAATACTGCAAGTTTGGTACCATTTGCTCTAAA